ACGGGATCCACATTGCTCTTCCGCCACGTTCGGTTCCACAACCTGACTGACGTGGCGGTTGAGCAGGGTTCGGGCAATCACCTTGCCCACACAACTCAGCAAGTTGATGCTACGATAATTCGTGCAGCATTGCTTGCTCCCTTTGCTCTTGTACAGTAATAGCACAAGGACATCCTTCAGCTCGGGAGGCATGTCCACCTCAATCCACACCCTTTGCACCGTGGTACAGCGCAGTCACCAACGCAGGTCCGCCGTGTTTCAGTACTTCAGGCGGGATCCCGTCGGCTCCGGTATATTTGCCGTTTCGCAGTTTAGCAAGTGCTCTATGTCCCATCCAGTGTCGGCGTGTCCACCAGACTCGCCTTCACATTGTGCTGCTTCAGGCCGTTCAAAGTAGGCCAGTCGATCTCCGAACGGTTGTTCAAGAGGCAGTCAAAGTGTTTCCGCCAGATCTGCATTATGTCTGCAGTCTGTGTGCAGGCAGCGCCTGAACTACCATCGATTAACGTCCTCAGCAGCCCCAACCTCCTTCCATACACCATCTTCAAGGAGTCAAAGAATTCCTTGTGTCAGCATCTTTCTGCGTAGCATCTCACCTGATTCGCGTTCTCCGTCCACCATGCATTTTTAATGCGACGGAGCTCTCGGATCAGTCTTCGTCGAAGTTTTCGAAACTGTCTATTCTTCCCCAAGTCACTGGGGTCTGCCACATATGCAACAAATGCTGCATTCTTCGACACCAATGCGCCAATCGTCGCATTGTTCTCATCAAACCAATCAGGCCGCCCGATGGTCTCCTCGCCAGCCGCTGTCACCTGGTCGCGAATGTGGTGCCACAGGTCGCCCACTGTGGCTATGCATTCCACATCACACAGTCGTGCAGCTATCGCCTTCTCCAGCTCAATACGTTTCTCTACAATACTGAGGGAGAGAATGTTAAGTCTACGCCGATTCAAGGCGGGAGTGCAGTACAAAAATTTACGAAAATATGTATACAGTTTGGTCCTCACAAATTTGTGATCAGTACCATACTTAGCTCCACGCAATACACATGTCATGCGCACTTCACGCATATCACGCTGACGTACGATGACAGTCGGGCAGGTGAGCGTGACCAGTCCGTGGGTTCGTCCAAGGTGCTATGTCACTCGCACTCAGTGCAAACCGAGTGTTCGTGATCGTCAGGCCGTGAGTGGCGCACAGTGGAGCAGGCTGTCACCATTCGCGTTCGCTGAACCAATGCCATATGGACCGATGACATCTATCCACACCGATGCATCACGCCCAACACGCGCGTTGTAATCACCCAGCGGATATAGTCGATCTCTCCTCGGCACAAACCGTATCACGGAGGATCGCTGAGTGTAGAATTGATCACGCGTGTCATCAGGATAACACATGGTCGGACCGTACGCGCTTTTAAAAGTGGCAAACTGACCACTTCCGAGTCGTAGGCGAACAGTCATCAGTCACGCGCTGATGCCTGTTGCTTCACCCACGAGCTTGCCATGGAGGCGATCGGATAGTGCATATCTGACCTCGTGTTCATGTGGTGGTAGTGGCGTTTCCCGCTCAGTAGAACGTGTAGCCAGCACCTGCTTCATGCAACTTACCTTGAATAAATGTATATTCTCCATTATACACGATAAACACCATCGAATTCCTGATCAATTTGTATTACTAACAATTGTCTGACTATGGTGGCAGTAGTTGCATTCATGACTAAATTGGTGTGCTGTCTAATGGTGCCACCAGTGCGTCGAGACAGACTGAAATCTAAGAGCATTACCGCGTTAAGTCAAGTCAAGAATTCTTTTTTATGCACCCTTGTCGAGTAAATTTTTAGCTGTAACACACACGATGAAGACGGTAAAGCGAACAACACTGTAACCTTACAACGTGCTCCCGGCAGTATGATTCTCTTTAGCAGCGAAAGCAGCGTAATAAAAATTTACGGGCTTGTTGGAAGCCAGTTATGAGGCGATTACAGCTTTTATGGCGATAGCAATACGCCGCCCATCGACCGGTCATCACATATGGCCAGGCTGTTTTTCTCCGTTGCTAGCACAGCGACCCACTAATCACTTCACAGGGAACCTTTTTGCTGCTTTTTCACCTGGGTGTAGGCGGACTACCGCTCGTTCTAGGTATGACACGTTCAGTGCGGCTGTAGTCTCTGGCTCACGTCCAGTTATCACAGCCGAACGGCGTGCGTTCCCTTGATCTTGCCCTGCGGTCGAGGTATGACGCATTGATTGCGGTTGTGGTGTTTGCTAACCTTCACTTCTCACAGCCGAACTGCTCGGTATGCCATGCGATCGTAGGCATGTTGCCTTTCATTGTCCCATCTCACCCCTGCCGGCAAAGCAATTTGCGCCATTGCACAGTTGGCAATTCAGCGTACCGGTGTGCGTCAGCACCTAAGTGCAGCCACCCCCAGCTCCGGACCAGATTAATAAAACCCCTTATATATATATATATATATATATATATATATATATATATATATATATATATATATTGCACCGACGCTTCGCTGCCGCGCAACCGCCACCGGTCATACATGGGCTAAGAATACTGCGAAGGTCACCTAGCCCCTACGCAGGCTGGAACCCGCGCCCTCAGATTACAAGGCAGGCTTGTAATCCTTAAGGCCACGGCCACAGTTTTAAGTGGGCCATGTTCCACTTCCGCAGTAACTCTCATCGGACCCAAACGCTTACATGGTAGAGAATAGGTATTGTTATCGTCAAATTTCTGGTTTCTTGCAGTGTGGTTTCTGCTAAGGCAACAGTTATCGACCTAGGACGTATCAGTTGTGCGGACCAGACATGCTTACCGTCCGATCTGCATTAGACTGCAAATTTTAAACGCTGCGAGGCCGAATAGAGAAGCCTGTCGAAGAAAACCTGGGACTACGGTGATGTATGTGAAGATTGTGATCATCGGCATCGAACACACAAGGTTTGACTCTTATTTCCGTCAGGTGTTACCAGTGAGCTGTTGTTGGCGGTGATCGGGAGAACGAAAGAACAGTCTGGTTGTAGAACGGTACGTTAAACGATCTGTCAACGGAGGTTAAGCAGTGGAGACCGTAGAGACAGTAAACATAGCAAGAACGAAAGCAGTAGTACAACCCATCCATGGTTAGTCCGTGGGCGCGGTACCACCCAGTTGTCTAAGCCGAAGTACGTGGTTGTCTTTGATGGACATGCGCCGAGCTTTTAATCAAGGCAACAGGGCGATACAAGGGTGTCGCAACCCGTTTGGAACTGGTGACCAAACAAATGACTCACACGCCTTCAAGTGCACAAAAGACTCTGTTTAGTGGACAGTGTTGTTAAACGGACACGATTGTCATGCAAAAACTCATTACATCCTAGAACAGGATAATCCCGAAACACATCTGACACCAGAAGGCGAATGGGAGGAATGTTAGCCTCTAATTAAGTATAGGTTTATCTACTTGCAAATTGCACAGATACCGTACCCCTTTTTGCACTCGCAAAGTAGGGAATGCGATTTCCTTTTAAGGGGATCTTGATCAGTTTTACCTTATCTGAAGGTCCCATATAATATTTTCCGTTAAAGTATCGTTTACTCGATCGCTCGTGCTGGTTAGGTTGCACACTTCTTGAAGCTTTAAGTACCCACCTTAGTACATTGCCATTTTTGCACCTAGTTAGGTGAAACCTCGGGCTATCTACCCGATGATGTAGCCAAAGGGTGTGAAAAAATTTACTTATGGTTCTGTATGTCGTCTTTCCGGGTGGAGACTTCGAGATCAACCAGATCAGTGTTTAGACATTAAGGTAGCACAGTTGCGATCAATGGTGCGGCTGCATTCGTTCTCTTGCATTTATGTATTAACATTTAGACCATATTAAATTTAAGTTCTTCTCCTTTGTTGGTTTTGTTTCACTTGCAGCTTCGTTAAATTTTCGTGCCATTTTTAGTTATTTTCATTGGTTCGATGATGATAGCCATGATAACTGGATCCACCCCTCTTCGACTATGGGATCTTGGTTGCTTAGCCAAACTGAACGAATGTATTTCGTTCAACTTACTGCATAACCTTTGCATTTGGATAATTATGCTACATTCTCCAGCGTTTACCTATTCAATTATATTTTGCATTTGACATATCGGCTGACAGATAGTGGTCCTCTTCATAACGTGACTTGTCATTTTGCTTGATGCCCGGTGACCAGTATGCTCGATGCGCGTAGATTTGTTGCTACACCTTGTAGTGTCAGTATCCCTTTTCCTTCACCACGCGCATGCTTTTAACTCGTCGTTCACTATCGTCCTCCTCAGTGTCGTGCTGTTGCTGCAGTGTCAACGGTTAGTGCCGGAGCAACCGGTGCTCTAACAGTGTGCTTAACCTCACTATGAGTCGTAGGTGCGTGTGTGTGTGGGCGAGTTAGATTGATTTTTGTAGGCACACGCAACCCTTCAATGCCGTTTTGTACTCGTGTTCGCAGACGAACCTGCCAAACCCAAGCTGTCTCATCGAGCTCATCAATTTGTGTGACGCTTCGTTTTAATGCGGTGTGCCCGGTAACTAGTGAACTTGATTGAACCAGACCCGTCGATTCCGATGGACTAGTGCCACTCGGTTTTGTCGGAGACAATGAGCGAGCAATCACTGTCGCATTAATCTCTTTATGTTGCGTTGATAAACTGAACAATTGCTCAAACTTCGTTTGCTCCCCTAATCGTTGCTCCATCCACTGACTTGGCTTGACATGATGGCCATTGCAAACCCAGCTGGACAGCTTGTGTTAGTCGATCTGATAATAAGCAATCCATCGAACCATGCTTAGTGTGCTCTACCTCACTGGAACTTTGTGAAACAATCATCTTTTGGCCTTTCGATATTTCTGGTGCCGTTTAGTCGTTGTTCAATTAACATCTACCCCACACGGCAGTGGATGCCTTCAATTAAAATGCATACACTTCGCATGGAAACTGACACACCTTTTTGTTTCTGACCACAGATGATCAGCTCGCGGCAAGTGAATCGCCCTCCTCCAGTCTCAATGGCCAGATGACTTCCGTGTGCCCCGCGGACTCACTGATTCGTCCGGCAACTATGTGGACTCGGGCAGAAATGCACGAGTTCAAGGAGCATTTGGCCGATTCTAAGGATGCCGTCTTTCAAGTTGGTTGTGGCGAGGTTATAACGGTACGTTAGTGACCGACGTTGTCTCTTCGATGAGCCTGTATGGTTGGTCTCTATGCCGACGACAATTTGATTCATCAGCACCAGTTTCCTACATGCCGAATGTTCTAATTCCTTGTATCTTACTGTCTGGTCACATGATGCATTAGCCTTAAGGCTAATATTGTACAACTTTACCATGATTATGTTAAATAAGAAAAATTTGTTAAGCGGGAGAGTACGGCAGGTCACTACCTTCTCACTGGTAATCTTGTCCTTTTAGACTATCAGAGTGAGGATCTTGATGTCAAAATAAACATTTCAGCGGAATGAAGCGCATTTTCTTAGACCCACCGTAATCTTCGCATGAATACAAGCATAAGCAAACAAGCTTGGGTTTTCCGATATATTCTGATGAATACTCCATTTGTATACGACACTTCATCTCCCAATGCGCTAAGGTTATAACATTTGCTGTTATTGTGTCACGGTTCGCGCATTGAAAGGGGAAATATGCCTGTGACATCCCAATCGGCTATACGGCGTGGTCTCTATCAACTGGTGACTCTGCAACTTGGAGTTTTGACTGAACTTTGAAAACTGGTGATAGTTGCAGTCGGTTCCAAAACATCTGGTGAGCGCTGCTAAAACCACCGCGTAGATGCTGGTGTCGTCCGATATGCAGTCTTCTGTGGTGGAATAGACTCCTAACAATCTCACTCATTTCTTACTTTTACGCGCCGAGTACAGCAATATCGTCCTCTTGTTGAGTTACTACACTTAGATGGGGCGCTCTGTAAGTAACCGATTCTCTTGTTGACTCGCTCAACCGAATTCACTCAAAGTCCGTCTTCCTGGGAGCGTTTCCGGAAGAAACTATTACCAACACATGTGCACCATTGGCCGTGAACGTGTAAGGAGCATCCTACATTTGATCACGTTACAGTGAACTAGGTTGCTCAGTGACCATAACTGCTGCCCTTATCCGGTTGACGTCGCCTGTAAGCAATCGATTTCTGTGTCAACCTCTTTGACAAGAAGTAAGATACGCGATCAGTTAAGACCACTGAACCATTTAGCACATTTCATTTGACTTGAACCGAGCCTGGCAATGATCCTGATCTCTCATGCATGGTCCCCACTGGAGCTAAATTTATCACTCTTCCTGGGAACGGATTGTCGACCTGATAGTTTTGTGACTTTTAACAATGGATGCAATGACCCAGGTGATTTAACCTTTCAGGTAGGTTACCCATCAATTTGGGTCCAACTAACTTGTGTGCAGTGCATAGCCATAGTCGACGGAATCCGTGCGCTTCCAATGCTGACACACCCCGTAGGAGGGTCAAGGTGATAACTTCGATTCCCCAAATAGATGATAGTAAATGTATATTCGTGATCGCACGCTAACTACGATGTTTATAGAAAGACTTGTTTATAGATGGTCCAGTATTGCTTCAGCGACACTAGTAGTAGCACCGCAGGGTTGGTAAGCCGACGATCTTATAGTTGGGAGAATGGTGCACGGCTATTGCGTAATGAGCGCTCGTTGCTCGCTAACACGCGACTTTAAAGATATCGCGCTAGAAAAAAGGCCAACTTCGTAGCTGGTGATCGGACTTGCTACTTCGTTGAAAAGCGTTTCGCCGACAGTGGAAATGACATCATCATCAGCGCTTTGTTTTGTCGCGGTCCGAAACGTTGCATTAGTGAGTGTGCTTTGAGTAACTGTGAGCTTGAGTTTTTATATGTTATCGTAATTGGTCGTTTCAGTAAGCAAATTCACCGGTTCGGCCTTCGGTCCATGTTCCAGTTCATCGACGAGTTGGTGGACTTTGGACTTAATCCTTGCGATTCACATCCCCTGTTATTTATGTCTGCGGTTTAATGACATTAAGAAAACGCCGGAAATTCATGTTGGAGGGATGGTGCCACGCGGCTATTCATAATCGCGTGTGGGCAGTGGATTCTGCGAAGTCGTCGACATCTAGTCGGGCTCGAATTGGCGACCTTTGGATTAATTTCCAGACGCTCGAAACACGGCCACCATCCGACGCTCTGTTTGGTATTCCTTCTCTTTACGGTTACTTGACTGATCTGTAGAACACCTACCGTTAGTGTTGCGTATGTGACATCCCAGTAATCGGATATGGTGTTAAATGCCATACTTCAAAGCATCACAATGCTTGCTTTTCCCCGCACGAAACCCGAACTAAGTGATATGAATTTTGCTTCCTTATGACCAGCCCGTATTCGGCGATCTATGCAGAAAACATGTCTCCAATTTTGTCCGATGCACTGATGGTCACAGTCATTGCAGTCTACCTATATGAAGGTACCATTTTGATTGTCTTTGTCCTTCCATTTTGAAGTAAATACTTATGAAGTGACCTTTGGTTTATGTGCTTTTGTAGCATATGGAAGCGCTACATGTTTATCCGCCTATTCTCGCTTATGTTGGGATGTTCTTTATCGGGCTACATCTGATGAAGTGTTTTAAGCCTTCATTGTCATTCAATATGCAGTATAGGCGATTTCTTCCTTCTAAATTCCCGTGCTGCAGTATTTCCACTCTTTTAACTATCCTTTGGATATGGTTCTTTTTTGTATTTCATTGGATGGTTGTTTTGACGGCGTACGTCTTTTCCCAACATGCATACATTTGACACGCTTTGTTTATATTTCTGAATTAGTTCATCCAAGTACTTTTGCTATGTTTTCACACTTCAGTGTGGAACTTGATCTAGAATTAATTATTGACCAGTTCGTGTCATTTTGCACTTAATTTCATTTTGTGGTGATGAACGCGCCACATCAGGCCTGCCGAACTGTTCTAAATCCTTCGCCCAGCGGACTAGCTGATGTGGCTAAGAATGGATCAACTGCTCATCCTTCTCAGCTATTGTTTTCTTAGCCCATATTCCCCTATATGAGTTGCTACAGTACTCATCCGTTGTTCTCAAACGCACTGGCTTACCTCTCAACACTCACCAAGGCTCCCGTCCGATTCTAGGACTCCTGATTAAACGTCGTTCTAGAATGTTACAGACGCGCTGAAATTGAGCAACCAACGAAATCAGTTAATTGCTTCGACGACATGATCGATGCTTAACAGATCTAATCACCGTAAGAGGGTCTCGAGTGGAGTGTACAACGGGCTTCGAAAACATTTTTCATGGCACTTTTGCCACAATTCCAGTCGGCACTCGGCTCACTCGCGTTCATCATTGACAATTTGTGGACTGATTCCTCGTGATATTACCGAATTGAGGACTCTAAGTCTAGAGTGCAACCGAGAGGCCTAGATGTCAGGTGCGTAGCTGAATCCAGAAGATTGAATACTGGGAATTCAATCAGATACTCCAGCTTGACCGACAGTCCGATGTGTACTACTCGTAACTGATGGTAATATGACACATTTAAATCCAGACCATCGTGAAATTTGACGGGCGCCAGGTGACACGATGCGAGCATTTGTCCTGGAAAGCAGTATTGCAATTATGACGGCTGTAATCAAGATGTCCTTACGGTAATCTGTCACAATTACCTGTTCGGTATGCATACATTCCTAAAGGGTCTCTAGACGGTCGTCCGGTATCTGGTAGGCGACCTATTTGAACATTCATCTCACCAGCAACTATCAGAACTTCCGTATTCCTCATCATACGCATAAGAGATGGAAGTTGCCTATTGAATTCCTTTTTTGATATCCTCTAATCGGCAGTCGGTTGGAGCATGTAACGAAAGGATAAAAAATCACCTTATCTACTGACTCTAATGGACATCCGAAGTCAAGATGCACACGGGTGGCAGTTCACGTGGTCTAGTCGAGTGTATTCCTTCGACATGTTTGATAAGGATGATATCGGCGCCATCAACTCAGTATCGCTAGGTACCCGAATAGTTTAATCATTGTCGACAAATCCAAATAGTGAGCCGAAGATTTATTTCGACACCGCACTCATCAATTCCAATCGCTGTTAACCTATCTGATCCAAAGTGCGAATGGTGAGGGAACAAATTTGGAAGGACACGTTAGATGCATCGCCCAGATACATGCTGTGTCCAGTGCAGTCGCCGTTCAGAAAGGGGGCAACAATCTAGGCACGCACGCCATACCGTCTGCTGGCATCGAATTTGTATCGTGTTATCCCATCTCATGTTATCTCCTCAAATTCATTTTATCATTCATGTACAACCTCCAACTTCCCGTAAACTTCACTTCCAAATTTAGATTCGTGTTCCTGTTTACCCTTCGGGTACCAGTATCGTGTGGGAGTTTGCCACCGATGATTACGATATTGGGTTTGGATTGTTTTTCGAGTGGTCTTGTGAGGACTCGGATGAATCAACGCATTTGCTTCAAATGAAAGGCGAGCATGGTGAGTTCACATTCACTTTGCTTTTGTTTTCGTTAGAAAACGGTTGTCACCTGATCGGATCAGAAGCGAAGTTGTAACTGTTTATGTGAGGTTGGTTCTGCAAACTGTGACGTCAACTCACATGTCCTGCACATTGCGATTCAGTTCTGCTAGTCATTGCGCTGTCAAAGCTGCGTCTATCTTCCGCGACAAGTGATTACGTAGAGTCGTCCCCGGCTCACCAATTTAGATTCCTAGCGCAGCTAATCGTTTGATATGTGGATTTTTAGTACTACACCTCACAGTCATTACAAAAATGTTGTACAGCTTTACGGACACAGTACTTTCGTCGTGAAACCTTTGAATGTGGAAACTTCATGCAAGCAAGTATAGACAGCCTATATCGGACAGTCCAAACGTATGTGCTACCAGGTCGCAGCAACCTTTCTGAGACAACAAATCTCTCAGTGAAAGTGAGTACTTGGCTACATCATCAACTGGTGACTCTGTATCTCGGTTTTGATTGAGCTTCGAAAACTGGTGATAGTTGCAGCTTGAGTTCCTAAACATCTGGTGGGCGCTGCTGAACCCACCTCGTGGACGTTGCCATCGTCCAATATACAGTCTCCGGAGGTGGAACAGCAAGAGTACATTCTACAAAGCAGCGCCCTGACGATGAAAGCTCGCATGGCAGTGAAATGATGGCAAACGAATTTCCAAACTCGGCGAACAAATGAGCAACTAAGTCTTCTTCATTTCATAGATAGGGCGAATGAAGAACTTCCGCCGGGCGTCCACTGGCTCGATACGTAGATGATGGTATTTATTAGGAAAATTCCACCTCTTTGTGCACTGGACCTTGACTGGTGACTACATCTTCGGACACGCGGAACCAATTTGACACATGGGTTACTCATTGGTGAAAATAACATATGTTCCTGTCTGTGTTTCCACACTGGGGTAGCAAAATGCTCACGATCTCTTTCGTAGCATCTGTGGTTTTCATCATTTTAAATTTCTGGGTAGCCGTCATCCTTATAAATTAGCTACCAATCGTTTGCGATATCTAATGAATTTGCCGCCTGACTGCTGCTCGTATCCATAGCGTACTGTACCTTTCCACAGCCTACTGAATCCATAACGCTTTCAAATTCCTCCTTCAAGAAATCCTCTCAAGATAGTTGCATCAAACGGCCGCAAACAATCCTAAAATCACTGAGTGATCAATCCTGAATGATGTCCAATGATATGCCACTCTGTGTACTCGTCTGTTATACTACCGGTTGATTTGGAATTGGTTAATCAACGAACAGTACACCTTTTTGAAATTGTCTGCACCCGTTGGATGCAACTTAATAGCGTTAAGGACCACCTTGAGACATCTATGGAGGGGAAATTTGAAACGGCTATAAATTCAATCGATTGGGAAAATGTATAGACACCTGCGACATGCACTAGCATAGGACAGAACCCGACGCGGAACCTTTTGAAGGCCTGTTGCGCCACATCTGATAATCAACTTGTCCTGTTTACACTATACTTTTTTGCAGATACCTCCAATCGGACGGATGATTTGTCCACCGTAACGTCATCACCACAGATAGAAGAAATCATCCCTATATACCGGCGCAATTGCCACAAGGAAATCTACTGCGGATCGCATGTATATCCAGCATTGGGCACTTATTTGCTCAAATTTGATAACTCATACTCATTGTGGCGCCAGAAGACTTTGTACTGTCGCGTTTTCTATACCTGTTCATAACCTGATCTACAAATGACCTTCATCTCGGTTTCTCTATGCAGTGTGGCGTCGTTTCTAGAAATTAATGGTTCCACCAACTGCAACTTGCGTCATTGTTTCGCAGTCCATTGAATTCGGCACGCGTTCCCTATGAGTATGGGGCGCGATAAACTTTTTACTTTTATGCGAACATTGGTCCTTCTCCGTTTCTCTCGTTTTTTCCACTGGGGTTGTCTTTCATCGGACTCTTCCCGATCACTTGTGATACGTGTGTAATGTTCTCTGTGAACAGGAAATACATCTGATCTGCATATCAACACACTTTTACTTGTTGGATGGCGACTGAAAACCCATTTCTGCACCTTGGTTGACGAACCTCCCTAGTGTCTCGCACACCGTCAAATGTCCGGCTGGTATGGCTGTTTCTTCCAGTGCATTTCACGTGTGAACACCCCACCTAATCTATTGCGCACTGAACGAGCCCATTGTAAACGCAACATACATGGTTCACGGCATCCGATTTCAGATTTACCTGTCACTGCGGCCTCCATAGAAAAAAGACAGGACGCCTGCTCCTACCCGAGGACCATGGGTGGCTTACGCTGCGCCACCCATATCCAGTGTAATCCCTAAGGAATAAGACCGGGACGCACCTGGATGGGGGGCCAAGTGTCACCAACGGAGCCGGCCCACACCCCTACAATATGCACAACAGCAGCATTCCTGACTGTCCAATTGGGGAATCATCATCATCATACACGTTAGCTAGAGATGGGAAACACCTCAGCTACTGTGCCGCAGTATTTGGGGAATTGTGCGTACCAGACGTCCGCAGGGCGGTGGCTGAGCCTTAGTAGATGGAAGCCCTCTGAGTCTAGAGCCGTCCCGATGACCGTGCACCCGGTCTCCTCCAGCAACCATTCACAGTTCCTGGAGCCAGTAATCGAGGTGGATGGTGCTGGACAGGTAGGCGCCTTGTCAACACACATCGAGTGCGGCCACACCGGCTATGTTAAACAACCAACATAAAATTTGAAACAAAATAAACATGTCAAATTATCAAGGAATATGCATCAGAATAATAAAACTGAACAAAACAAGTGTGATGGAATACTTTTTTCATCCATTAAGAATGATCGCTCCCACTTTTGGGGCCGTGTACCGTCCGTCGGTAAATATACAAATTTATTTATTTATTTATTTAAGATCTAGTTCGAGTGTAGGTCGGTGTCCCTCGATGGCTTGGCCATGTTATTGCGCATGCCAGTACACGGTCTGCCGCGAAGTGCGTTGTTTGTGCGCCGGGAGTGTGGTTGAAAGAGGAGACGGAGCGATGAGTCAGTCGAGAGGAATGAAGGCCTTCACTTCAAACGTGGCGTCGGTTGGCATCTCCCGAATGCCGGGCTTGGGACCGAAAGACGATGAACGCGTTTGGTTTGATACACTTGTTGGCATGGCAAGGAACCTATCTCAATGGCGTTTGTGTGGTGAGTTTCTTCGTACCTCCCATCCACTCATCTTCCGCCTACAACCACGATCTCAATGTTGAAGCATTATATGTCACTAAACAGTTTGATACCTGTTTACAATCTATCACGTTTATTACCTCGCTTTTTCGTAAATCTTATCTTTTTGTATTGCGGCCCAATAGTTTAAGCTCGTTTCTCGCCTTCGGCTAATATGTGTTGATGCTGGTGATCAATCTAAAGCTCAGGGGTTAGATACACCCACCACCAGACACCCACCGGACATGAGCGAAGGTTCGAAGGCGGCGATGTTCGAACCTCACCAGTCTCTCGATATCGGCTGATCTAATGAGTCAGGTTTCACAACCGTACAGAAGGGTTGAACGGACGGCTACATGATAAATTTACGCTTCAGAGCGAGTCATGTCACGCTGGCGCACAGGTGGCGGCGATTGACAAAAACGCCTCGATCTTTTGTTGTACGGTCCGTGACATGTTTCACAGGCTTTGATGCAGCTGCCCAAGTAGTTGAAATTCGGAGCTTTTGGCTGATATCCACCAGAGGCAAGTGCAGGTGGTACTTGGCAATCTCAGAGAAAAGCTTGCTATTTGAAGGGTGCAAAGCATAGCCCGAAAGGTTTGACAGCCAGTGCTAATCTGTCTATTGCTGCTTTGCACGTTTGAGAATAGCCAGAGATCGTCGGCATACTCCAAGTCCAGAATTTGATCATCTGGATACCAAACCACACCTGAGTAGTGTTCGGTGGACGCGTTTTCCGTAACTTCGTCAATAGTAAAGTTAAAGAGGAAAGGCGACAACGGACAACCCTGCCTCACACCGCCGAAGATACTGAAGTGCTGCGACAGTTTACTATAAGCTATCCATCTACCCCAACTAAGCGCATAACGCGTTTTGATAATGCTTACGTGTTCCTCGGCTACAACCTCAATCTCAGTCCTAAAGAGCGCATCGAGCCGCCGAGTCACAGGCACTTTTGTTGTGGATGAACACGACTGCGGTGAGTCGTCAGTATAAGTGATGATGCTACAAAATATCCGGAGTAAAAGGAAGTTGTGGTTAATGCGGTCTCGATGTCGACAAAATCCACCGCTATTTCATGGGTGCCGGTCAGTCTACGGAGAAGGACAGGTAAGTAACTTGGATGCACATTAGATTAAGTTCATTCTGCTATGATTGCCGCATACAGAGTATGAGGCAACTTGAAAACTGGCACAATAACGGAGCAGCTCCTGCTACTTCACAAATAAATCTCATTTTCCGCTGAATTCAAGGAAGAATAGAAGTCTTTACTTCTGCGGTCGATCTCACGTTCAACTTTTGTGTGAGAGGGCAGATCCAAGGTAACGGCCCAGGGAGCGCGGCAAATATTTACCAGCGAGGAAACTTATAAACCTGACCGATTTAATTGCTTTTCGATATCCTCAGCCCAACGCTCTAAGCGTTTTGACAAGTTGTGTACAGGCTGTCCTTGTCAGACAGAGTTCTGCTTCTCGTTGGGGACGGAATTACTTCCTATAGTTACTGTTACGACAATAGAGTCAAATAGCAAGATAATTCACTAAACAAACGCAATGTATTGGCAGTAAAATATAGAGTGATTTGTATTAAGTAGAGTTGCTTGTTCTCGTGAATTTAGAATTCACGGATACCTAGAGCAGCATGTCAAACTGGTATCTCTGAACGTGTCCCATGCACGCACTATTACAACACCCAATGAGATATCGACGAACGGACAATGTGAGTTGAACTGACGCTTAACAGGCAGAACACTGCGTTAGATGACGACACA